AGTAAGCCCCACGACTCTACCTGAAGTTCAAAAGGCTATAGTTAATCTGAAAAGAGGAAGGGCAGCTAGTTCACATGGATTGGCTCCAGAGGTCTTTAAGGATGATATTCCAATTTAGGAGATTAGGTTGACTAATATTTTAGCTAAAATCTGAGAGTTGGACGTAATCCCATCTGACTGGTCACAATCACTTATTGTTTCAATATATAAGAAGGGGTCGAAATCATCCTGTGATAACCACAGAGGGATTAGTTTGACTGACATGGCATCTAAAATACTATCATCAATAATTATCAGACGCCTAACTAAGACTCGTGAACATCAAACACGAGAAAATCAGGCCGCTTCAGACCTGGTCGTGGCTGCATAGACCACATATTCACTATTCATCAGGTATTAAAACACAGAAGTGTTTACCGACGTCAGACAATGATAGTTTTTCCTGACATACAGGCAACATTTGTCACTGATGAACGAGAAGTTCTGTGGCAGTATCTGTCATTGAGAGGTGCACCTTAAAAGTAGACAAACCTTGTAAAGGCTGTTTACTCGAACACTACTGGTCGAGTCAGAGCTTATGGTGAACTGTCATCTGGTTTAACAACCTCAAATGATATTCTAAGAGGCTGGTTACCATCTTTATCTTTGTTCAGCTTCATCATAGACTTACTGCTGGAAATATCGTTCTAATCGTCTGAAGTAGTCGAACGTGTCGACAGCTTCACTTATCTTGGAAGTCTGATCAACCCTAAAGGGTTGATATCCGACGAAAACATTGCGTGGACTCAGAAAGCTCGTTTGACTTTCGCCAACTTACGTCACATATGGAGAAGGCGAGATATCCGTCTATCAATAAAAGGACGAGTATACTGCGCGGCAGTTTGTTCTGTTCTACTTTATGGCTGTGAAAAGTGGACACTAAGAGACGAAGATATACGTAGGTTATCAGTACTTGATCACAGATGCTTTAGAAATATTTCACGCATCCGGTAGGATCATCAGGTAAGTAATAGTAAAGTCAGACACAGGGTATTAGGGAATGATGGTAAATCGGTTGATGAGGTTGTGAATCTTCGTTGACTGAGATGGTTGGGCCACGTGTTACATATGTCTGAACACCGATTACCACGACGCGCAATGCTGACTACTGTTGGGAATGGTTGGAAGAAAGTTAGGGGCGACCAAATCAAAACATGTCATCAGTGCTTGAAGTCACTAACTTCTAGTCTGAGCCATGTTGGTAGATGCAGACAACATGGTTGGGGTCCGCATTACTGTCTTAACCAATATTTGGCGACTCTTGGTGACATGGCTCAGAATCGATCACAATGGCATAGGTGTATACACTGTTTGTCTTCCCTTAAACTATGAGATTAAAATTATTTCATATCTTTCTTTCTACGAACTAATTCTTTCTTGTATTATATCCTTATACACAAACTTTCTTTTATATATTACTACGATTCAAGTGACTACTTTTATGAATTTGGTGTTCATCTTGTTGCGCTAATGAGGTGTGGCAACTTGGACCGATACATATGTGTGTCTGGTCCTATGTTGGCTTTGTCTTTAAACATTTGGTAGTGACCGCAGAGATATCTTGAAGAACTAGTTAGTTGAGTAGACGCTCATTTGCTTAAATATTATTGTGCGACACTTATTCCGAAATTCTAGAGAATGCTAAATGTCTTACTTGGTTAGACTACCTACCGTTACTCTGCTTTCTAAGAAGAGACCAAGTATTACAAATAGGATTGCTAACTGTTTTCTGACAGCCGTTATTTAGAGAGTGAGGTACAGAGGAATCCCTCGATATCTGCTTCCTGAGGTACTCATATTCAACATACCATCTTGCAGTAAGTCCGTATGCTTTCAATCTACATGGGTCAATCATCTTTAATCTTGATAAAGTCGAATAGATATCGATTTGTGGATGGACCGACAAAACATCATCAGTTTCCTCCAAATGGTCCAGTGGAGTTGAGCTTGCCAATATGCTGTAGAGCCAATTTCAACATTACAATAGCTTCTCATGACTCGCCTGGTGCATAGAAGCAGTACTGTTGGCATAAACAATGACTACGACTTCAGGTATAAAAATTATTTGAACATTGTGGTACCGTCTTCTCATATAAAAATATAGAAGTTATAGTTCCAATAGTAATATATTAGTATGAAAATAAGTTTCTTTTCATCACTGTTCAGTGAAAATATTCGAATTATTTTTAATACTGCGAGTCAAGGTCACAGTAGGAGTGCGCAGTTTCAGTGTTGCCGGAACGTGCTAGTGTCCGTGCAGTTGTAATAGGTTGGGTTTCGCCGGATTCTCGCTTATTTGTAAGCCCGTTTTAAGTTTTCTTCATCAATTATATCTCGCAACTAAGTTGGCATAAAACTGAAAGCTTTACGCTAACCGAGTGCATCAACTGAATTTAAATATACCAGTAAAGACTTTCCAATATTACTTGGTCAGTTTTTGGTTCATATTATTAGGCGACATTTAACTTATAAATCTAACTGCCTTACTGACCCTTATAGCATGCCATGCAATTGTTTGTGAAACGTATCTAGTTTTGTGATTCAAATATCCCAATTTCAACGTCTTGAGAAAATTCCGGAGAACTTCGAGTAAGTTTCAGGATTTTCCCAAAAGTTGTAAAAATGTGTAGTTTCCCTCGAAGTTATAAGATTCCGTGAAGATATTGAGGAAAACCCGAATATTACCTAAACATTTTGGGGATTTCCCAGTGAGACTATTATTCATGGACGACCTTTGAGCAACGCTAGACTGATTTTGGGAGTGTTCACTTAATAACCAGGGGCAAATGATGGTTATTAACCTGTGTGAGAAATTAGAGTTATAGTTTACCGTTGAAAGTTAAGCTTAGGTATTAAATTTCGGGTTTTCATCACGAACTGACATCAGCTATAATGCCAAAACTCTATTTATCCAAATGAGTAAGTGGATTTCGCGCCAAAGTCCAAGGCCTGTTATATACGTGATTGGTTTGTTCATAAATTATAGTCTCGTCGCGGGATGCTAAGTATTTCTAAGTCCTAGTCATTACACTACTCGGGATCAGAAAAATGACCATATAAGATAGGTGTTGCGAAGAAATATTACTCATAATAGCATAAATGGTAGTAAGTTCATTAGCATCATTTCTGTAGATTTCGAAACACGTCCTTCTCAAGGTTTATTACTGCTAGTTTTGGTCAACCTGAGTACACAAAAGTCTTAATTTCAACTTACGATCCAGTTCAATAGTCGATAACTTTATGGAGTAATCAGACATCTATAATGTGAAAATCCTGATTACTTGTTTACGACTAACACTTATCAAACCTCTGTTTGCAACCCGTTTGATACTTTTGCCTGCATTTCTGAATAAGACGTAATATACATAATTTACATAAAATAATAACGTGTATCGGGTGGTAACCGGGGGTTAGGAGAAAACCCTGAACCTAGATTTCATTGTAGTTGGCACTTAACGATGAAAGGTGCACGGAGTTTTGAAGAGATGTGAGATTTCAGCTAAAATGCTTCCATTTAGCTATTCAGGTCACTGGTAACGTCAGAAATACATTAGTTGATCACTAGGTAATAATCATCGTCACTATTTAGTTCTTCCTACTGACGTAATTCCATCAGTGATGTCCAAATGTAGCCGTTAGTCTACATGGCCATGGTGCGTGCACCATTTCTGATGTTAAGTTATGAAAACAGTTAACTCAATATTTCTGAATGGGGCTACTCGTATTCATCACCTTAGACAACAACTTGAAAATTAGGTTGTACTTGTGAACATTCACTGGGATGCCACAAAATCCACTTTTTTAACGTTCTTTTGGAGTCCACCTAATAGTGAATGAATAAAACCTCCACATCTGAGGGGAAGCACGAAATACTATGGACAGTTTGGATGCAGCTAAACAATGTGAACCTCACAAACGACTTAGCTTTTATCCCATACATACCAAGAAATGCAGATGAAGACAATTAGTGGGGCAGGAGCTTCTGCAACAGCTGGCCTCAACATACACAGAAGAGGAACCAAGATCCTCAAACGCAACACAGAAAATTAACGCAATCACACTTTATGGTGAAACTCTGGAGGTGGAAAGTTCCATCACGTCATCGATGAATGAGGAGGATCTGATGAAGACGTGAAGGCGAGGATCGGCAAAGTAAGTACAGCATTCTTACAGTTGAACAACATGTGGAACTCAAAACAACTGTCAGCCAACAACAAAGTCACAATATTCAGTACAAACATCAAGATAATTCTGCTGAATGAGGCTAAAACTTGGGAAACTACAACAACCATCATCGAATTTGTACAAGTATTTATAAATAATTGTCCATGTGAAATATCGAGTGTCCGTTGACCGGATACCATCAGCAACAGAGTACATTGGGTAGAACTAACCAGCTTCCAGTTGAAAAAGAAATTAGGTAAATACGCTGGAGGTGGATAGGACATTCATTGAGGTAATCATTAAACTGCACCACAAGGCAAGCGCCAACTTGGAATCCTGAAGTCAATGAATGCGTGGCAAAGAGGAAGACCAAGAAACACAGTGCGTCGAGAATTCGAAGCAGACGTAAAAAGAATGAATAGTAACGGGAAAGGATTGCCGAGGACAGGGTTGAATGGAGAATGCTGATGGGTGACCTATGGTCCTCCATTCGGGGTAACAGGTGTAATTAAGTAGTAAGTTCATATGGACTACAAGTTGTCACAAACAAGTGTGGCACTCCTTTCTTGTTACCTTCTATTTTGCATCTTGTGATATTGTTAGAATCCAATAAAGAATAAAAAGTAAAGGTTGGTTGAAGGTTTATCCTCTCTTGATTAGTATGTTGCTTTCTGTTTTGTTAGTTGTAAGAAATCTTTTTATTATGTATACATACGTAATAAGCTCTTTTAATGTTATATATTTTAGTCTTTGTTATCGATTAAGTCACTGGGATACAAATTACAAAATTGAAAAAAATGCACCAACTAACTGATCAAATGGTATCCGGATTGAAAAATTATAAATACTCGTGTGTGGACAATTCACCTTTTTCAATATATGTTATGCATCCCTTCTGGAATTGGTTGGCAAATGTATGGTTTATCTATTCATTAACAAGTCCTTATATTTGCTTGTAGTTTTACCCTGTTTGGCTAGCTCCAAACCTCATAACATTCACTGGTTTCCTTCTGACTGTGGCCCATTATCTCCTATTGTGCTGCTATAATCCCACTTTCTTCTCAACAGTCAATGTTCCTACTTGGGTTTGGCTCGTTACCGCTTTCCTTGTATTCATTGCCCATACTTTAGGTTCGCCTCACATTGTAAACTGAAAAATAATTTTTCACTTTAGATGGTACAGATGGAAAACAGGCTCGTCGAACTAGGTCATCATCGGCTCTTGGCGAATTATTTGACCATGGATGCGATTCGTGGGTGTGTCTTTTTCTTGCTGGATCAATGTTCTCATTGCTAGGTAATATTTATACTGTGAGAGAAATGTTTATGGGGCAGTGGGTATTAATTATCACTTTTCTTCTATCCCATTGGGAAAAATACATCACGGGCACCTTATTTCTACCTTGGACGTTCGATACAAGTCAAATAGTAAGTAATCTATATGTTTTCATATGTTTATCTATTTACCGTGTCTCTGATTTACCGGGTACTCATTAATTTACATTTTTATATGTATTGGCTGGGTACTGAGGCTGAAGTTGATGAAATGCAGTTCGATTTTACTACCAGATCATTGGGAGTAAAATGCTTCAACTTGTAAGCTCCCATCACTCTATTTAATAAATTTTTAATTACTGGGTGTTTTACAACTAACAAGTTAAAGCATCGGTTAAATTGTCATCACTTTCTCTCCAATAACGATACATTAAAATAAAAAGCTTTGAGTAAACTCAATTTATTTTGCAACATGGTTTAGTCATTAAATATGATACGTTCGTCCACTGTGTTAATCATTCGCGTTACTTCAATTTCAATACCATGAAATAAAAACTAACTCCTTGTAGTTCTTTTCCCTTCCTCACTAGGGTAAAAACACCAGTTTTGTAGATGAAGCTATTTGATGTTGATTTTGTGTAACCACTCAGAAAGACATAAAATTTCCTCGATTATAAATCGGTGAAAAAAATGATTAAAATATTTAAACTGAGTATTTATCATTAACTCGAACTATCTTAAAAATCTATTAAAATTCCAGAAATAATGTTCACACGAAATGATAATTTACTGTAAAAGAATTTTAACCTAATCAACATTGATTTGATTTTTGTAAGTTGTAATTTAAGATAGCATATTCTCAAAAACTAACAGCTAAGTAAACGGTATGAACTGAGTCTACAGTAGATACTTCATGTGCATACCTACCGGTCTGTTGTGTAAATTCACAATTAATAAAATACCATACCGTAATATTAATCGTGCTGTCAATAATTGTTTCTAATGTTTTTTTTTATTTCATTTTTCATTTAAGTCATGTAGTCGTAGACCTTGATCAAATATTAAGGGTTTGTGGAGATTGTGGTTTTTATATATTATCACCACTGAATCAACTACTTCTATGAATCCAGTGTTCATCTTATGCTAATGAGGTATGGAAACGTGGACCGATGCACATATGTGCCTGGTCCTACGTTGTAGCCAACTGACTGATTGGAGATTGTGATGATTTAGTAGTTGAATCCATGAGTCGATTAAAGCTAGACCACCATGGAAAACCTGGAAGCACTGGACGGCCGTTTCGTTCTGGTATAGAACTCTTCAATAGTGCGTATTCACGATCCCGCATGCGTGGTTCAACCCAGGATCTATCAGTCTCACGCGCGAGCGCCTAACCTCTAGACCACTTCCAGGTTTTCTATTGTGACTCGTGAATTCAACTATTAAATTACTACAATCTCCACGAAAACCCTCAATCTGATAATAATCATCATGTGCTCACTAGTGACTGGCTTCAAGAGGTGTTTCTTGGAGTTCTAATGAGAAGCCGTGAACAATGGAGTTAAACCGTTTTTGTTGTGAGGAAGTTACTCACTGAAGACTATGGTGGGTTGGTTGAAGTTAGATATTAACACTGTTGGATGCCGGCTCAGTGGTCTATAGATTAAGCGTTCGCGCGCGAGACCGATAGGTCCTGGGTTGAATCATTCGTGCGGGATCGTGGATGCGCACTGTTGAGGAGTTCCATACCAGGACGAAACGGCCGTCCAGTGCTTCCAGGTTTTCCATGGTGGTCTAGCTTTAATCGACTCATAAATCCAAGTATACATGTACTAATTATTTAATTACAATAATTTGATGTTTGGTGACAAAATAATAATAATAATAATCATAATAATAACATCGCCATTCTTATCGAAGGCCAACGACCGTAGTGTTTCTTGACATCAGGGCTGCCTTCGATTCGTTGGACAGGACTGTTCTCTGGGGTTGTCTATTGAAGAAGGGTGTGCCTGAGAAGTTTATTAACATCCTAAAAGCCCTATATAAAAACACCTCAGGCAGAGTGAGGGCATACAACCACCTCTCTCCATCGTTCCATTCGAGTAGTGGGGTTAGGCAGGGTTGCCCAATCTCAACATTCCTCTTCAACTTTGCCATCGATGACATTCTGGAATCAGCTCTGATGGATGTAAGTAATGGCGGTGTGGATCTGTTGCCTGGAGAAAGACTTCTCGACCTTGAATATGCGGACGATATTGTCTTACTGTGCGATAATGCCCAAGGCATGCAATCCGCACTTAATCAGTTGGCAATCAGTGTCCGTAGGTATGGTATGTGCTTTGCACCTTCGAAGTGCAAAGTACTTCTACAAGACTGACAGGATTCTAATCCTGCACTCACCCTGGGTAGTGAGCGAATACTAGTATTCGAGAAGTTCGTGTATCTGGGTAGCTGTGTTAGTGCTGGTAGTGACGTGAGTGATGAGACCAATTCAGGTATAGTGAGAGCCAGAGCGGCTTATGCCAATCTGGGCCATCTTTGGCACCTTCGTGATGTTAGTCTGGCTGTAAAAGGTTGGATCTACAACGCGTCGGTGAGAGCAGTTTCGCTCTATGCTTGTGAAACCTGGCCTCTCCGAGTTGAGGACGTTAGACAACTCTCTGTGTTTGATCATCGTTGTCTCCGAAGGATTGCTGACATCCAGTGGCAACACCACGTTAGTAATGCAGAGGTTCGGCATCGTGTGTTCGGGCACAGATATGATAATGCAATTAGTGTCACCATCTTGAAACATCGACTTCGGTGGCTTGGACATGTTCTACAAATGTCGTCCCAGAGAATTCCACGTCGTGCATTATTTGACGACGCTGGGACTGGTTGGAAAAAGCGGAGAGGTGGTTATTGTATGACATGGTGTCGTGGCATGAAATAAAGCTACAAAGGGCTGGCTTCCGTTGATCCTTAACGACTCCCTGGCTGGGGTCTGAGAGATGGTCCAACACAGTGGCTAGAGACGTTATCAGATATGGCTCATAATAGAAGCCAGTGGCGATCGTGCTGTAACCTTCTTTTACTTTCTTCATAAAAAGTGGTTGTGTCTCCCTTACCTGAAAGATTTCTTCCGATTGTACCTTTGCGTTCCCTGTTTACTAGCACATTACCTTACATCAATCTCTTCGTTATTGTTCTCTCTTTTTTTGTGCTCCTTAGCTTCTTTTTTTTTCTTTCTTTGTATTCCTCTTCGAATATTCATTGTTCTGTGTGGCGCATATATATTGGCGCTCTCTTGTACCAATATTCATGTGTCCAAATAAATAAATAAAATAATGTTCTAAAAGTACATTTTCATGGGTAAGTGCGCTAAGCAAATTTGTTTACGTAAAATTTTCTACCCTTAAAATCGTTATCTGTTTACTTCTTAAAACAGCGAAATAATATACTGATTAGTTATTATTACTGGATTTTAAAAGGAACAGCCTTAAAATATAAATATATCTGTTCAAAATTTGAACTTTAATAATGGTAACGCATAATTCTCATGCTTATATAATTGTAATTTCCTTATGGTATTAATCCATGTGTTTTTGAGTAGAATCATGCATGCCCATGCACAAATGTATGTATTAACTTATTCAAAGAACCAATTAAATGTGAATAAAGATACTGGCATTTCATCACGAATCGAATAGACTTAACTTGAGAGGCACCCTTTCATTTAAACTGATACCAACGAATTTCTTAAAGAAAAAATATTCAAGAAGATTTTGCGGAGCAAGTAGAGCAAAAATTAACCGAAATCCTTAGAATGAAAAGTAAATCAGTTATCTGTGGAGACCTCTATGAATAACGTAAACCATTTGAGTCCGTTATTCTACGATTGTATGACTTTTTTAAAGTTCGTAAGAAAGATATTCTTTAACGTCCTACATTAAATATGAATAACTCACTATTTAATGCTATTGCTAAATGACTGACTGGGATTGTATGATCAGTCAAAAATTAACTCAACAAACAAATCACTGCTGATCTGTTTGACTTTACTTATTCAATGCCCGATGTCAACGAAACTAAAAAAAGTAATTTTATTGGATATTTCTTCTATTATTACAAATGGGCCTCTCACGGAAACGATCTGCCTACTATGTAATTATATTGGAAACAAAAGCCTTGATATCAGTGTTCCAACATGCCATTTGGAGGGATTACTACTCTGATTCACTTTCAACGTCCAGTTGACATTTAGTTATGAGCTTTATATGCAAAGCCAACAGCGTAATGATGAGGTCACAACTGCTCACATCTAGCTGACTGTTTTGTTCCTAATCCTGAAAACATACTCAAAACAACAGACAACAGTTTCTGTCCATAAAAAAGATATTTATATGGTGCTTTCATTACTTGTGACAAAAATGTTGATTTCAACATCCTAGAAAAGTTCAATCGTTGTCGTCAGTTATTTATTTTCAGAGTGGAATCCGAGTTTAATCCAAAGTTCCACTACCTGGTTGCTTTGTTAGAAAAAGAGACTAGATAGTCTATTACAAAAATCTATATGAAAAGTTTACCTGGAGTAGCTCGTACACGAATTTTCAAAGTTCGATCCCATTAAATCAAAACAGAAACCTGGTCCACTTTCTATTTACGAAAGTTAGACAAGTCTATGCAAATGATATAATTGACATCAAACTTGATAGACTACGGCAGATACTTGCCAAAAACAGATATCTATCCAGATTCATTGAGAAAAATTCGAAGCAAAAACAAAAATATGAAAGCGTGTCTCTAACACTAAGAAAGATCTTCTTCATGAATATTCAGTTTGAAGATCATAAACCAGAGATTCTGGGCAACAGACCTTCGAGATCTTTGAAAAAAACATTCTATTCAGGTAGACTTTGTCTCTTTCTAGTCGGCCTTCGATTCACACTTGTGTGAAAGACAAGCTTCTGTTTTGAACCAAACCAATGTACATTCATCAATTTATTCCCTATTTTGAAGCAGATCATATTGACCACATAAAACAAGCTCTTTTGAAACACATTTTTGGCTATTGAAAGAACAGAAAAAATCAATCTCAAAACTTCTAGTTAATTCTGACCATACTGGTTCACCAGAACCTTCTTTCATAATCATCCATATATTTAAAAGGATTGATTTAATGGGAATACATATTGAAAACTTATGCTTTTGGCAAAGGGTTTAGATATCCACAAATTCAAATGTAATTTTTGTATACAAAAACAGTGTATTCAGTCCCCTATTTTACCGTCGTCTTAATCTTCCTTTTTATCTTTTTTTTGGCTCCTTTTAAATTATTTTCTTGGCAAACATTAATTAGTTATTATTACATCTAGTTATTGTGTTCTTGATATTTATTGAGTGAACAATTATCACTCATTCATAGACCATCTTCATCTTAATATATATATTTTTAATTATTTGATGGGTTATTACGTGAATTACTTTCAATGATTTGATCTGTATGAACAATCTATGACAAGATATAACTTTAATTTTATAGGACTACATAACACTTATATCACTGTAGACTACTATTTTAGTAAATAAATAAACTATAAATTCAACTGTACAATGATGTCATCGAAGTGAAAATTTTCTTCACTAAAATTGCCCTTATTCTTCTTTGCTAAATTAAAAGTTTTCCCGGTGAACTTGAAATTTTCGTTAGCTAAACCTTTTGTAAATCTATTTTATATCATTTTTAATTGTATTATGTACGTTTATAGATTATTCAACTGGTTATAGGTTATGTAATCATAGATATGTTTGTTCGTTTAGTTACAGTGCCTTAAACACTTGATTTCTAACCAGCATGTCACAAGTTGGTTCCGTGGTCCTCTTAATTCGATTATAGTAACCACGTGGTATCTATAACTCATATACATAGTATAGAGCTACAAACTGAGCACTTGTACATGGTTAGTAAGACTTCTACTAGTTGGTTGGTTTGGATATTTTCTGATCGACATAATGGTCCAGTTAAATTTGAATATACTACATGTGATTGTAATAATTGTGAACATTTTAAATTTTGCTTGTTCACATTAATATGAATTTGTTAGATTAATCTTTCTCGTGAATGTCCCACTATCATGACTGATCAGTCTTATCGATCATCAGATCATTTTAAAAAATTTAGTGTTTAATTGTGTTCACAACCATACTTCAGTAATCTAAGTCATATGTTACTGTAATTCGGAATCGAGTCTTTTTACCACCTATCACTCCTATAGACTGAAATTTTTGGGACGCTATCAATAAGTAAACTGAATTAAAAACAGAATTTGTTTATTGGTATTTTAGCCTGAATTTACAAACGTTCGGCATAGTTGCTGTGTATATATTCGTTTGAATTAAGATCATATCTACTTATTCAGTTCATCGATTTATTTGTTTATTTCAATTGAGTTAGTTAAAGAAATATGATACACATGTAAAATTTGATAACAGGAAAAGAATATTCTATTACGTGTTGTTATTATTATTGTCTTTTCAAATTTTAGATGGTTGCTCTGGTCTTCTTACTCGCCTATTGGCGATCACCTACTATTTTTATGAAACCACTTTTATTTGGTTGGTCAAGTGCAGCTATTTTCAAGTTCACACTCTTTTGTAAGTAGCGTTAAAAATTAATTTCGTTTATATATATATATACTTCAAGACAGCTGTACATGAATATGGATATTATACACAACATTGGAACGTGGTCACTCACGGGTTTATGTTTATGCGGTAGTAAACAAGCTTAATAGCCTAGTTCCAATATTCATGTACACTCACTGATCTGTGTGTATGACCTTGTTTTTTATTTATTGTTCATTCTGTGCAAACTTTGCATTAGATATAGATGAATTTTATTTTGGCCAAGTTTACACACAAATGTAAAAATTTATATATATTTTTTGAACGTGCAACTTGATTTCTACGAATTGATTTTACTTAGCTAATTATGTATCTATTTTATAGAATTTCGGTTTAATCGAACAGTTAGTTTCAAGTTTTCAGAGACCTATTACTAGTAGAATATTTCTAGTTATGATGTATAAGTTCTATTTGCTAGTTGATTCTTTGATTAGAAGGTATGTTCATCATCAATCAGCATATTTGTGATATCCAGTGTAATTGAGTAGTCAGTTGTTTGTTCGTGTATTATTCCCATAACTAAGTTTTAAAATGGTCTTGAATTGCTTAAACGGCAGTTAATTAGTTTTCTAATCGACGACCGAGTGATTAAAATCGAAATTCCATATCTAAATTTTACGATTAGTTTCTAGGATGACTTGTAATATATAACAGCCTGCATCTAAATTTGAAAATCGCTGAGATTTTACATATATATTCTTCCTCCTTAATACCGAGCAATGCTTGAATTATTTCCTTTTGTAGCTTTTTGAAAAACGGTGAATTTTATTGTGTAACTTGTTAATCAAGTGCATATTCTTACCCAGCTTTGAATCACAATGTATATTTCAGTGCTATTAATACTATCTGGTTGTCTTAACCGATATAATAGATCATTTTTCAAACATGTAACTTACTTTTTGAAAGATTAGTATTTTTTTTTACTACTAAAATTCAGCCTTGGATTGATAAGTTTAGGCAAAAATATTGGGTACAGATGATAAATCAATTGAAAAAGCCATAAATTTTCACAAACTGTAGTCATTGATATGTGCCTAACATATTTCATGGGAATAGGAGTGCTTTGAAAGCTAGAGACGATCAAACCAAAACATGAAATCAGTCTGCGAAGTTATCAAATGTTGGCTTAATTCACGTCTAATGGTACAGACTTCCTTTTTAGGATCCGTGCAGTAATCGAGCTTGATAGTCAGAGACGTAGCCAAGAAATATCTAATGTAACGTCATTCGCACAAAGTGCTTGTATGCTTAAAAAGACTGCTTGGTTCAGCGTTAAAAATATCAACAAATGAAATTTACGAGCTCCAAATACAACAAGCAGTTATTAAGTAAAAAGTAATAATCATCACCTAACGAATAATTTTCCAACTTTTCAAATAATGGGCTTTGAGTTTGTTTACCATTGGACATATTAATAAGATGGGTCGTGATTACATTCGTTTGATTGGTTTGTACTATCAGGAAGCTTGCCTTCTGGATTACTCTGCTAGTAACCTCTACTTTTGTGTAGAAATTATTCAGGCTATTAGGTTCAAGTAAACTTAATGATAAATCAAAAATGTGTTCATGTTGTGGCTACGTAGTGATTGTAAGACTTAAGGTCAGAGGTGAAAGCATGTTCGGTACATATCAAGTCAATGAAAAATTTACTATGTAAGTGATTCATTACATATGCGTGTAAATAATTATTCACCTAAATCCCTGTGTTTCAAGTTAGAAAATTCTACGCATCGAAATGGTGGATCGATAAATCATGCCTGATTGGACGTCTTGGATTCTCATTAGCTGCTTAGATCCGTATTAATCGGGTTAAGAGACAATATGAGATTGCGTAATCAAAATCAATAACTTTGATCACTCTTTTGTTTTTATTTCTTGGTGGTTGCTTCTTATTTATATAACACTCCCCTACATATAAGGTCATTTGAAGAGTGGTGCAGAGAACGTAAGGGTGGGAGCAGACATAAAGATAGGGACTATCTAGAACTGGTAAACCGTAAAACTGGGTTACATCAATACACATACGCAAAGTTTAGAAGATCTGATAAGTGAAAAATCAAGTGGACGAAATAACTGTTTACGAAACCTACCAATGAAATACAGCATAATTACATTTAGCTTGAAAAAATTGAGTAAAACAGTTTATGAAAGCTTGACATACGTATTACCATCGAAATATAAATTACCATATCCGTTTAGTAAATCACTTTTTTATCAAGATCGATAAATTAATAATCCATTACATTTATTCGAATCCTTTTTTCTTATGCAATAAATCATTACCTACTCAATACTTATCTCCTTTATGCATCAGTTTATTGGCGTTGTTCTACCATGATAATTTGTTTGAACTGATGTAGGAAAATTGAATTATTCATTATAGTATCTCAAGTTAATTACCCGAACAATTTTCAAATATGTTTCTATTGTAATATTGTGACGAATATAGCATAGCATGTTTGTCAAATGCCAATTTTAGTCATTTAGTTTACACGGGTATCATATCATTTGAAAACAGATATAAGAGGCATAGAGCAGTGAGTTGGTAACTCCTCTAGAATCCGAAATCAATAAGATGATTTTCAGTTAGGGGTTGTAAAGATTGTCGATTTTCATTGAAATCATGACCCAATCAATGTTAGACCACCAATGAAAACCTGAAAGCAATAGATGGCCGTCCTAATAAGGAACTTCTCATCAGTGCGCGTCCACGGTCCTGCACGCAGGATTCGAATCTAACACCTTTTATCTCACGCGCGAACGCTTAACGTTTAGATGCACTGAGACGGTATACAACAGTGTTAATGTCTAACTTCGACAAATCCATTATACCCCGAGACAATCTTCGATTGTCTTCTGTACATAACTGCCTATCCTGCATCCAAATCCCGCGTGCTGAATTGTGGGTGCGCACTGTTGAGGAGTCTCATATTAAAATGAAACAGCCATTCAGTGCTTCCTGATTTTTATTTGTCACTAGAACTCAATGAACTTGAAAAAAAAGAATGAAATCTATGTTCTCTTCAATTGTGATAAATGTTTACTATTGTAAAATTCATATATTTTTAGAAAGTGTAATTCTATTTTTAAATATAATAAACCTTAAATTAGTTTATTCTCATTTCTATTTTGATTAATGAATTTTGAATAGCTTCATTTTATTTTGTTCATATACCAATTACATTATGGAATATTATAAGAACTTGTCCAAATAAACAACCATGGCATCGTGGTCTTGGATTATGGGGTGTAGTTAGACCTCTTATACCTGCAGGACTACTTATATTTAGTTCATATATATGGGCTTATTATTCACCATCAAATTTATTGGAAAAAAATACACGTACATTTTTATTTTGTTGTGGAACAATTGCTTCAAATGTAACAGTAAGTATTATTGTTTTTGTATAGTGGTTTTATAACATTCCCTCACTCTTTTTGTACGTTGATCATTTATTTTATTGTTGTCAAAATCATTGAATTTTGTAAATGGAAAAAAGATCTTAAAATTCAGACTATATACTTAGTAACTTTCTGGGATTTTTCAACAACGCGCGTTTAATATATATCACTATGGGGTTAGATTGATTATTTAACATTTACGTAATTAATGTTTTTTTATAATGTGAACTATAATTTTGCTTATCTACTGATATTATTCTTATGAAATAAGACAACATTTACACACATCTCTATGTTTATAGGTATACATACACAAACTTTACTGATCAAACTCATAAGTCGGAGTTTTGGGCGTTTAGTTAATTTAAGTAAAGCATAATATCTACTTTCTTTTTCAATTTTACACAGTAGTAGTTGTTGTCATTATCTTGAGTTGTGTTGTTTATCATGACATATCAGTTTTTAATTGTTGATTTTTTTTATATGCCTAACATCATCTTTGATTTATGTACGATTTAAATTGTCAGAATGGGTTTTGTGGAGAATTTAGAAATTTCACTGGTTGAAATCATGAGTCAGATGAAGCTAGACCACCATGGAAAACGTGAAAGCACTGGACGGCCGTTTCGTCCTAGTATGGGACTCCTCAGCAGTGCGCATCCACGATCCCACACCCCGCGGGACTCGAACCCAGGACCTACCGGTTTCACGCGCGAGCACTTAACCACTAGACCACTAAGCCAGCCGGCATCCAACGTTGTTAATGTCTAACTTCAACCAATCCGTGAAGTTGCGCCACCGTACACCATTGTCTTCAATGAGCTGATATCTCACAACAGACCTGGTCAGTCACTAGTGACTGACTTCAGGAGATACTCCTGGAGTTCTAGTGAGAAGCCGTTACCAGTGGAGTTCAACCAGGTCTGTTGTGAGATATCAGCTCACTGAAGACAATAGTGTACGGTGGCGCAACTTCGTGGATTTAAATTGTGTTTAGAAGTCTGTTTTCCTATTAACGCCCAGTATTGTTTTATTCATCATACAATATTGTGTTTTGATGCACGTGTAATCCAATGTTTATCACACAACTATATCAGTTGTTTTATTCAAAAATCTCTATACTGTTACTATTGTCTTGGATGACCTAAGCTTTTTTATCAGGCTATAATGCAATGCCATACCAAAGAAGGGACTTATCTATTAGAGCTCTTAACTCCTTTTTATAGTTCTACCTGTATGGTACTATTCAACTACCGAAACCGAAATAAATATAATACACTTTAGACCTATTTGTGGTCGAGCCGGCAAGCCTGTGTTACGTCTAATCAATCTGAATAATGCTTTAAACAAGAAATCATGTTGTTCTTCGAGTATAGTTATGCATATATATGAGTATTTTAACACATGCCTAGAAATAAGCCTGAATATTATTTCTCAAATCTTCAGGTCATTGCTTATTGAATACCAAACACAACTCCCGGATAAAATGAAGGACTAGTCCTAGTTTCAGACCTAAAACAGAATAACTAGATTTTGTTGGGTGGCTAAAAGTAATCAGCGAGAATACTCGATCCATGTTTCATTCTTCTCGTCCCTTTTCAAAAAGGTACACCTGCATTATCGGGTGAACTACTACTTTCTGTAAGACTCCGACAGTCATCACATAGCTTTATAGTGTGAAGCATCGCCATTGAGCTATTCGGAACATTAGCTCCCTTAAGATTGTAGGTACATTTTACTGAAGAGTTTCAGATGGCACGAAATCTAGGTGCATAGTTTCCTACTGAATTAAAATACTCCATTTTGAATCACTTGGTCTAGTAGTGTTATGGTTTCTCTTATCACGACCCATCTACTGTTATTGTTTAGTATTCTTGGACACTATTTCATTCGACAAATCCCCAAATCGGAACACCGTTGAACAGCAACGTAGTTATACTCTAAATAGCAAGGTTGAATAGAGGTAGGAATCGCAATAAGAAAAATCTTAGAATCTTCTCCAAGTACCCTCTAGCTCTGATTAGTTAAGAAATAGCCACTCAGCGTGCCCCAACACAATCCTGCACGGGAAATACTTTAATCCAATCTATGTCCCGCTAACAAGTGGCCACATTTCAATTTCATCAGTAAAGTTTGATCTCCACTGCGTAATAAACATGCATAACATTGGATACTACTCAGTGATCAGTCGATGTAGTGTATCATGATAAGCCTGTTTCCCCAGAAGTTAACACAATAAATAAAATGTAATTTTTCACAAATGATGCTCACTATCAGGAGTAGTGTCTTAGAAATATCGTTGAATAACTTTCGATATGCAGATATATATCTTTATTTATTAACGTCCTTGTGATTGATTTGGTAAATCTAAACTCTCGTTTTAATAAGCAAAGATGGATAGTGGCTAGCAGTGGAATCCAGGATGCGCGTTTCGTCCTATCCGCGACTCGTCAGCTGGATGTACCTGCATCCCAGAGTTGATGTTCACCTCGGGACTCGAACCCAGTACCATTCGCTTCAAACGCCATCGCGTTATCCACTCAGATACTGAGTCCTGATAGCCACCTTCTTGTGCAATAAGGTGAAGTTTAAACTCACTTGGTGTTGTTTTACTTGTATCTTCCAACATGAGACTGATCAATTGCAGTCTTAAATAACAATGGGAAGATACAAGTGAAACTTTTAATAGTTTGATTAATCCTATTATAGTTTTAATTTCATCTTAATTCGCATATTTTAGCCCTGCTTTGGTTCGCGCACCCGGGCAATATCACAACCCTCACATGAATCAATATTAACTACTACTTTTTATTGTGTGGCTCATATGTATTTGGTGCCCCCTTGTGCCAATTTTCCTGTGTTTAAATAAATGAATACATACATATTTTAACATATGTCACTTTCGTGTCTTATACTTTCTTTTTCGTTTTTTCTTAGTGTCGTTTGATCGTCGCGCAATTATGTCATGTCCCAGCGCCATTGCACAACAAAGAAGTTTATTTATATTCAATAATTACCGTTGTTATATGTTTCATTCTTCCAATAAATAAAGATACGTCTATTGAGTGTATCGTCCTTCATTTAATAACGAGTTTCGTTACATTGGATCATCTTTATTATGCTTATCAAGTGGTTAGTACTTTTTATTTTCACATTTAAATATGATCAATGTTCTTAAGAATTGATTGTATAACATTAAGGTTTCTAACAGCTTTAATGTAAGCCTCGCTGAATAAAAATTCAATATGAGCAAAGTCTACATTAAGGCGATGTTTTGACCTTTAAGTTGACAACATATTCAAAGTTAATTATATAAACAAAGTGATTAGTAAACATCAGACCTGTATATTATCCTTTTTGAGGGAGGAAAGTAAATTGTCTAAGTATTTTAAAAAATGCATTGATAATTGGAACTATCATAACACAATCAGGTCATTTATAATGAAGCGTTATTTACTTGACTGATTGGACTTTTATAAAATATTATTGACAAAACAAAATGTAGAATGCCAGTTGATTAAGTTTTTTATTCCATGGAACATTGATAGGTAAGTAGGACTAGAATTTATATGTTAAAAAACTGTTTGTTTATCGGAAATCAATGTTTTTATGTTATGTTGTTCTGACATATTCTGTTGTTGGAATATTCAGTTAATCCAATAGCCCTGATAGTACTCTGATCTTAATTATATATATATTTAGTTAGTTAGATCTGAACCACAACCGTTACTTGAATAAAAGCTAATAATACTTCTCAGTTGTTGAGATTCATGTGCTTAACTAATCTTCACAGACAATAGTTACGCCTTATTAACATTGTCTTAAAGAATAAAACTACTGATCAAATTAGACAGTTATTTGCATTATTTATTCACCTTATTAGTGCTTTTGAATATAGTCTTGGTTATATATCTGTTTAATAACTATACTATACTTGCTTGTGGTTAATACGAAAAACCTTGTGTCTTCATAATCGTAATCACACTGTTTCAATCCTTCATTTCTCATCGCTTGTATTATTGAAAATTCGATAGAAAGTCCTTAAGTTAACCGTTTGATGGATAAATACAATATTCAATAAAGTCACTTTATCTTGATATTTTTAGAGTTCCTGTAGCTATTACATAAAATAATAATAAATTAGTAAATGGACTTAAGCCGAGGTTTCCTAGTAGTAGATGGGTACTAATCAGCAAGGCGTATTTATAGTATTGAATAAATTAATTTCTCATTGGATTCAGACTCACATCACCGACTGTCACGACGAGAGTTCATTACTCTAACGCATCAAGACACAATGCACTCAATGTCGAGTCATTCGGATTTATAACCACATTCAACTCGATCGAGGTAAAATTTGTTTAGCTCTATTGACTAAAAAAAATAGGATATTGATTACCAATCTGATATGACGGTCTATAATTAATCCTAATATCTAAACATTAACTGATTTTAGTAAGTGATCAACAACCCGACTCCCTCTAATTGCTTATGACAATTTGTTGTATTTATTTTATGGTAGTGATTCGTATAAAAGCAGGTTATTTTATTACCTGTAAAAACCTATTTTCTGTTTTATCTTTGATTTCAAATCATTCTGAGGTTTAAGTCAATAACTCAGTCTCGTCGTGACCAGTCACCACTAATCATCTATAATTTAGTGATCACCTAGTGTTAAAATTAAGAGTTTAAATTTTCTAATGTGTCCACTATTTCTATCCTATGTAGTTAGTTAATGGGCATTTTTTAAAAGTTTTTATCTAACCATTAATAACTACTCATATGTAATGCTTGTGTTTTCCAATTGCTCTTTTTTGCTCTTTAAATTCCAGGTAAATGAAATTTCATCATGTCTTTATATAAAAGTGTTCAGTATTACTCATTAACAACAACATAATGTGAATCAAATTTACCTCTTGATTATTATTATTATTATTATTATTATTTCTGTGTACATTATAAGATCAATCATCTTAACTTATTTCTTCATGTGTATGATGAATTATTCATATTTACTCTATGAAACTTGTATTGTTTCAGCACAGAATCTCATTGTCCTTTTTTCGTTATTCTTCAAATATACATGATTCTTTTGTCTTCTTCTTTCTTTCTTTCTCTCTCTCAATCTCTTTCTAGCAAATTAAACAATGTCAATATTTCTATTTTATTTTGTTTTATTACTTGTTTTACACACACACACATATATATACATACATAGACCTTATTTTACTTTCTCCAAATCTATTTTCAACGATGTAATAAATCTCATTGAACAGGTATATATGAATGTGTTCAATGTTTCAGCATGAGTAAGAATTCATGTTTCTGTTTCCTTCCTTCTTTCTTTCTTTCTTCTTTTACAGTTTTAGCTATGATGCAATTATATACATATAATACATGGTTAAATATGATATGTTTCCTTGAATAATTTCACTTTCACATGTATGAATATCATTTATCAAAATATATTTTATTTCATTTTATTAAAAGTAATTTACATTTTATAATTGCTTTTTGCTCTTTATTAACTCCTCTTCTAACTAAAATATAATTATTTTCTAATTCTATGGAATAAATTTATTAATTATGTCTGATGAGAAGTAAGAAAAGAAAGAAAAGAAAATTACTCATGATATTATATTGTAACTACTGAAATACTCAACTGTAGTATGAGTTTAGAAGTAGTTGACTAGATGTAATTTCAAAACAACCAATGCTCCATGAAGAGTAACAGATATAAAAAGGAATTTTCTAATTATCAGAATGGGTTTTGTGAAGATTTTTACAAATTTCAATAGTTGAAATCATGAATCAATTGAAACTAGACCACCATGGAAAACCTGGAAACACTGGACGGCCATTTCGTCCTAGTATGGGACTACTCAGCAGTGAGCATCCATGATCCCGCCCTCCGCGAGATTCGAACCCAGAACCTATCAGACCTGGTTGGACCCCACTGTTGTGAGATATAAGCTCATTGAAAACAATGGTGTACGGTGGCGCAACTTCGGGGATTGGTTGAAGTTCGTCATTAACACCGTTGGATGCCGGCTCAGTGGTCAAGTGCTCGCGCGCGAAACCAGTAGGTCCTGGGTTCGAGTCCCGCGGAGTGCAGGATCGTGGACGCACACTGCTGAGGAGTCCCATACTAGGACGAAACGGCCGTCCAGTGCTTTCACGTTTTCCATGGTGGTTTAGCTTCAATTGATTCGTGATTTCAACTATTTAATTTTCTAATTGTATATTTCTACAGAATTATATTCATTGAATATAAACAAGCAATAAATAAAGTCTATAGGTTAGTTTATTAAATTCTTTTGATTCAATTCTTGCCAAGTATTCATTTTACAGTATTTATCTCAAACAGTGAATTGTTGGACAGTTCTCTAGAAAATTTGTTACACCACAAATAAATAAATAGAAGTGTAAAATTAATCTTGAAGATGTAAAGAAACAGAATTTCATAGAATACTAACTAAATAAGCAAGTCAATAATCAGTCCTTCAATATTCTCGTTGTTCTTTTTAGTAAAATGAAACTGTTACATAAACCTAACAGTTATAGTTTAGTATTTTGACAACGTTGAATATGTACTATATATGAATTAGTTCACTGTTAAATTCAATATCCTCACATTTTTATCAAGTCTATTTGTTCCAAAACTGAATACTGTATATAACTTACTAACATACGTAATTCAATTGTGTGTTATAATGTTCTGTATGAAAGACGAAATCGTTTCTCATACTTTCTACAACCTGCATACATAGGATTTATGTGATATCGAAGTTTGAACCGGCCTACGAAAACTAGCAAGCAATTAATTTTAATGCTCAATATAAAGTATTGTTTTTTCTTTCTGAAAATTACACTGGTGTGTGCTACTTATATCGGCATAAGTAGTATATGACGTTACTCGTGAACAGAATGTCTGGCAGCAGAGAGACAAGAGGATCGAACAGTAAAGAATGGAAACAGAATGTAATTTGCATGAAAATGCAGGAAAAATGAAGTCTGAGTCATTATGAGACACCTGATGGACATTTTGCAAATTAATCATTAACTTTTTCATTGTTAGATTTACTAACAAATCCTATAATTTTATGTTGAATACATTCGATTGTTCTCACTGGTGTTCGTGTTCACTACAACACCTGATTTCTTCATACCCTTTGTTGGAAGATAAGCCCAAGTTAGTTTGGAACTAAAATGTTCATGAGACTTTTTCTCATAGTACATCAGACGAATACAGCAGCCTTCCGACTTTATTCAATCCACATTACTTAATAGCATAAATGAGACAGTGGACTGAAAGTGATGACAAAATTAAACTAACTTATACAGATTGGTGTCTCCATGATTTCATAAAACTAAACATTTTCAATGGGAACACAACACATACACACTTATTTCTTAAGTATTATAGATCTGGCAATATCAGAATTCATTCACAAGTAGGTGATTGTGTACGTGGTTTTCAAACATACTGTCTGTGTGACGGCTGGTGATACCACCCAGCCCTGTTAATCAAGGCAGGTGAAGCGATATGGTAATAATTTAAATAAAATTGTGACACTTAATCGTATTTATGTTTGTTATGACTACGCAATAAGCTTACATTTACTACTCTTTCAACGGGACATAAATGACAACTCGATGCGAAGAAAAATACAAGACTGTAGATGAAGAGTTATTCACACACTAACCTCTGATTCACAAATGATCAAGACCACAACAAAACTTGCAGTGTTACTTATGTCGTTTCAAACGTTCGGTCAAAATTTCAAGGTGAATGTATTGAACCGACACTAGTTAATCAATCGTTCTTTGTATGCATATAATTTGCAAAATCAATAGTTTAACTGTTCTAACCAATAAGTGTAACTAAATTATCGAGTTAAATATTTTGTTTTGGAGGTTTAGAGCTGAAACAGGTTCATGATTCTAATGAAACTGAACCATCTCCCCAACCCACTGGTTGGTTGAAACCTCAATATCTTAATCTCTAGGCCACCCAATCACATGGAAATTCACTATACAGGGATTTATCAAGATCCATCAACGGTGTTGTTTCTTTGATATTGAGTTTCTGTGTAGACGTAATTATCTCAATCGATTTATTCCAGAGGATATATTTATATGAAAGTTTGAGTGTATTATTATTTGTTAGATGAACCGTTGCTTCTATAGTTCAATTAACAATTCGTTGCGTCAATCACACATTAACAACACAGGATCCGAAATAAATAAGTATATGTCGAAGATACGGCTAATGTAATCACGGAGATAGTAGTGTGACATTACAGAAACTCAGTATTTAGTGGAGTATAAAGACCGAGTATATATTATTCATTGGAAACTCCATCCACTTCACTTAAAGTATACAACCATAGATTTCGATTACCACTTAAACCTCAACTAGATAATGTGTATCATGTAACACAGCTCAATCCAACATTTAGTGGCTCCATGGATTTATACTGTCATATTTTGCCGCCTCTAACTTTCTCTCAGGGTCTCAGGAGTAGGGATTAGTTGTGCCTGTGTAATACGTGTCTCAACTGATTGAACTCCGAACCGGAAACGTTCTAATAAATATTTTCCTGACTTCTATTCATCTTCCACCTACAGTTTTTTTCTGTGTGCCAGTCACATAAGTGTCAGTGTTTATACAGTTCTCTTACTTTCAGAATCAGTGCAGTTATGTGAAGCGATTTCAATGTTGGCATTCAAATTCATTTCCATAATTTGTGGTAGGTTGTGTGCAGTTATTTGATTCAATTAAGGATAACTTTGAATTTTTACTAAAATATTCTATTTCGAAAGTCCCAAAGGAAAATATCAAACATTTAAGTTACCTAAAATCTAAGTTTAATGCTTTAAGTTTTATGTCAAAAATCATCCAGTCGATTTTGTTTCACAATCTATATTCTCTTACTGCGTAAAATCAGGGGCATTAATACAAAACAGACTACTTAGTTTATTTGTAGTTGTTTATAGAGTTGTGTTATCTAACTTGATTTAAGATATAGAACGGTATAAATGATCCACACTACGTACATTTATGGGGTAAAAGGGGATTCACAAAAGAGAAAAATAGACCAACGGGCAAATTTTGTCTTCTTCATCAGTCTAGATTGATCAATCTCATCCATAGAACTTGTGAACATGTAACTTTTTCATTTTCGTACCTGTATATACCCAGTTATATGTTTTGTCATTCGAAATTTTCCTCAAGTGAAACTTAAACAAATCAGTGTTTGCATCAACTTGGAAGAAGCAAATATTTGTCCATAGGTTTGGTATTAACGAGTATCACTCGTGGTTTTCGAAATAAATCGAAATAAAAATGATGCTACAAGTGGTAACAGTGAATTCTCGAAATTTACAAACATCTAATTAAAATTGTCAACTACAAAACATCGGATAACTTTTTCCCTATATGAATTATTCTCTAAGTATGAAAATATTAAAGTTTGATTATTCATATACTTGACTTGGACTTATTACTGTACTAATGATGAATAACCAGTAATAAGAACATTCAAACTGCTTCAAGTTTTTGAAAAATAGTATGACAATACACAATGCTGTATTAATTCACAGGTCACCTAAAAATATTTTAATATAAAGATCTTAGTCAATAGTGTAGATTAGAGAATAGTAGTTTTTATTGTCAAGTCACCAGTTAGAGTTTCAACAAATTATTAAACTATATAATTTTTATGGGAAAGACTGTAATAAAGGGGATGTTGAGAATTCAGTTGCATCTTCATGTAGGTGGGAGATGGTGTGAGCGTAATCAATTATATCCACCAGTTTATTAAGGTGAAATTTCAGGCAACTTATGCCCTGAGAATATTTGAGCGCATTACGAACCGATTTC